ATTAAAAAAAAAAAAAAAAAAAAAACATTCCAAGAGTCGAGAAATTCCACCATTTTTTTTACTTAAATTTTATTATTATTCTTCGTTAAAAATTTAAAAATGATTTATTCACTCATAAAATTTTACGATCAAATATGATTAATATTTAAAAAAAAAATCGAAAATTTGGAAAATAATAATAATAATGATAATATGATGATGAAACGACATTGGGAAATCAAGGGCATTGAATGCTTGTAATTTCAGAGACATACATGGCATTGTGTGACATTATTACTCGTATAATGCCTAGTCTCTGTCCATATATTAATTAATTTTAATATAATATTAATTTCTTTTCTTATTTAATGGTAACATTAATTATCTACTGTCCTAGAATTGTAAATAATCTCAAATATAAAACCCATTGGGTAATTTTTAATATATTTAATTTCATTAAAAAACAAAAGAATTTAAAATTTAGGATACTTTAAAACGGTGTCGTTTTTGCCCTACCAAATTCAACAAACCTAAATAATAATAAAATTAGTGAGGAAAAAAAATGAAAGAGAGAAGTGGAGTAGGAATAATGATAATAATAATAATAATAAATTAAAAATGATTTAATAATAATGATAATAATAAAAGGAGGAAAGGTTTATTTTTATTAATTTATTTATTGAGATAAAAGGTCAAAAAGATTTGAATATTAAAAAAATAATAAAAGGGGGAAAAGTGGGGCCCAAAGACCGATGTGTCGGTCATGGCCTCGTATTCCCCGCTCTGTCGAAAAGTGACACGCCAGCCGAGGGTCCCTTATTTTTCTATTTCAGCATAATAAAATAATTATTATTTGTTTATTTATTTTAATTTTTTTTTATAGGTAAATAGTACAAAAAATATTTAATGGGGTTTTCTGTTATCGGGCAGCTCAATTACTCAACCACTCCTCTCAACCACTTCTACTTGTAACCTTCTTTCATTTTGAATGATTCCTCTTTATAATTCTTTTTTTTTTCTTTAATTATTTAATTTTTTTTAATTTTCGAATCGTATTCGAAATTAGATTTTCTACTGGGTGACCCGACATTGTCTTGTATCTTCACGATGTGACCACGTTACCTACTTGTCTTGAACTGCTTCTTAGAGTGAAAACTATCGAAAATTCGAATAAGGGTTTGTAATTGGATTTCGACACCTACTAGCTCTGACATTTCTTGCGATGAATTACTTTTGAGAGTAAAGTCTGTCCTCGTAAACCAATACGAGTCATTCGAACTAGGGTTTGTAATCGAAATTCAGCATCTAATAGCCCTGACATTTCTTGCTACGAACTACTTTCAAGAGTGAAGATTGTCCTCGTAAACCAACACGAGCCATTCGTACTAGGGTTTATAATTGGAATTCAACACCTAATAACCCTGAAATTTCTTGCTACGAACTACTTTCAAGAGTGAAGATTGTCCTCGTAAACCAACATGAGTCATTCGAGAACTAGGGTTTGTAATTGAAATTTGACACCCAATAGTACTTTCAGACTGTTCTCGGAAACCACACGAGTTATTTGAACAGCATTTATCCTCGCTCATATACTAAATTTTTTAGAAAGTTACCGAACATGAAATTACTTAAAGTTAAACATGTTTTAATTTAGAGCTCGTATAATTAGCCCTCGAAATGACGATGTAGCAACTATCGATGACGTACGAGGAGTTGAAAATTAGGGCAAAATTAGGGTAAAATTAGGGGAAAAGGGTGTGAAGGATGAGCAATGGTTATGGTCAATGTCTGTCACAGATACATGTACGAGGAGTTCACATCAAGGTCATGTGTTAAATCCAACGGTGTTGATGTGCAGAATTCATAGAAATAGGGTTTTGTGAGACAAGATTTCTGGAAGTGAAAAACCAGGTGGGTTTTCTCTAAATCTACCCCTAAATTTTTGTCTTTTTACACTATTTACCCTTGCAATTTAGTCCCTCATATCTCTCTTCTTTTTATATCCCCCACCATCTCTATCCCCATTCCATCCTCCTCTTCCTCCTCGGTTCTCTCTCGGGTCTTAGGGTTTCGTCGATTTCTTTTTGAGGGGAATGTTGTCTGGCTCGAGGACGCTTTTCTTAACCCTCTTAGTTTCAGTGTCGTCGGACCAGGCTTCATTCCCCCCAATTAATTCCACCGCCCCTCAACGACGGCAACGACAACGACGAGGTTCGGGTTTTGTTTTAAAAATTTCCATTTTTGGGTTGGATTTATGAGGATATAATGTTTGGAAGTGAATTAATTAAGATGGGTTGGTGCAGATTGGTGTGATGATGAAGCTCCTTTTTGACTTTCAGTTGGGAGTCTGCCCAAAATCCCCTCTTTCTTCATCATTATTGGCTCTTTTTTTGCCCTCTTAGATCTTGTAATCATGCCTTTCTTTCCCTTTTTTGCTTCATTATTTGCTCTGTTTCTCTCTCTTCTTGCATGTCTTGGCGTTCATGAGTTCATGAGTTGATATCAATCCAGTTACAATGATGGGTGATGTTCAAATTGTGGGTATCATTTTTCATGCCATGATCTTGTTCTAACATATCAGTTTTCAACCCTTCTTAGGGTTAGGGTTTGTGTTCCTTACAACAAAGGATTTGTTCATCTTGTTCTAACCTATCAGTTTCCCTAACCCTTTGATTTAGATCTAATTTGTTCCTTTTTTTGTTTTGTTTTGTTTTGACTCGATTCTGGTTGTTGAACCGACGCGTTTTCGATTTCACAACTCGAGTCGTCCGCTAATGATTCTTATGTCTTAGCTGTGTGATTTGTACCCAAATCTTTATGAACTTAACTTGTATGAAAACTAGAAAGAGACTTTTGATCCAAAGTTCTAGTGTTTTTCGGTTCGAAATCCGTTCAAAGGTTAGACTCAAAACCATGTTAGATGAACACGACTTTCCACAATGATATGATATTGTCCACTTTAACCTTTTATGGCTTTGTTTTGGGCTTCTCCAAAATGTCTCGTACCAATGGAGAGAGTATTCATTGATTATAAACCCATGATCATTTTTTAAATTATCCGATGTGGGACTTTCATCCACCACCTCCCTTAATCGAGGCTCGACTCCTTTTTCATTTGAAGTCTTAGTCATTGAGAGAGTATCAATATGCTACTCAACCAAATCGTACGATCAGTGCAGTAAAATTTTACAGTTTTTCATTAATTGAATTGGATATAAGTCACCTTTTGAAGAATGTGCTATGGACAAGTCGTTTCGACCATTTTTATATTAGCCTACTTGGAAGAATTCATAGGCGGACGAGCCTCCGGTTCAGAATTACCCATTTTTAATTTCAGGGTTTATCTGAATTTTAAAGGTAATTCCTAAGGCGGGATGAAGAAAGAGAATTTTATATGTGTCGTCTCACCAAGGGGGTCACACTGATGAGGCCTATGGAGTTACCTGATGACGTCATCATTGAGTCAACAAAGTTGTTGTATAGTATAATTTCTTTTATATATATTAGGTATCTTTATATATATATTTTTATTTATTTTTAATTTGGGCCTTGGGCTTGGAAAAAGGCAAGAAAAGCCCAAATTTATAAAAAATGTATAATTAATTACATTTTAAAAATTCTCATTAAAATAAATCAAGGATTAATAAAATATTAAATAGATATATATTTAATATTTTAAAAATAAGTTTACTCATATTTTATAAATAAATTCATAGGTTTATTTTTTAAATTAAATATTATTAAAGTGGTCATGCCTCCACAAATAATAAAATTTGTACATAGGAATACAATAATTGATATTTAATTGTTAAAAAAAATAAATAAAAAAAAAACTAATTTTCATGTGAAATTTAATGTCTTTAAATTGCAAGGGAACAAGAAATTTATGTTTGTTTATCCATTAAAACATATTTCGAATTCTATTATTTTATTTTACTGTCAATGACTAAGATTTGGAATCCAAATTCGACATTTGATGGTCTCGACATTCCCTTACGACACGGTCGGGTTATCTACTCCTAGCTTCTTAAGAGTGAAGACTATCCCCACAGACCAACATGAGTCATTCCAACATGTTTTGTTGTCACTGACATATAGCTTACGAAAATTTCCAAGAGGTCACCCGACATAGGATCCCTATAATTGAGCCATTGAAAAGGAAGATGCAGTGTGTTGTTCTTAGCTATCTTATCTTTAGGATCCCTTTGATTCGGATGTGGTCTCGGTTCATTCATGTACCACTGTTTTACTCGGATGTCAAGAAATAAGAAAATTATGATACAGGCTTTCAAAAGTCGACTTTTCAAAGGTTAGAAAACTGACTAAACACGAAAACAATATTGAACGTTTGAAGATCGGAACCGGGGTCGAGGAATAAACTTGGGAAGGGCATGATAGAATGGTACTAGTTAGAAACAAAAGAGCATGATGATGAGAGAAGAGAAGGAGAATGCCAGCGAAGAAACAATGCATGTAAACACACTGAAACAAAGGCATGGCCTCAAATCATTTAAAGCTCTTGAACTGTTCCCTATTTTGATTACTGTTTCAAAGGGTTATTATTGCTCTATAAATGGAACCAACTTAAACGTGGTGCTCATGTAAAATACTCAATATCCCTTCACGTTTCGTCTTTTTTTCGACCTTGCTCGGAACTTGGCTCGATTGAACTGAAAGAAGGAGAATGAGAAGAGATTTCTTTTTGTTAGCTATCTCGATCCTGAAAATTTTAAATATTTAATGCATTTTCTTGGACTAACACTGATCGTGATCGTAGGACCGAAGATATGAATTAAAATAAAATGAAATGAAAAATAAGGAGAAAATCTGTGATGTCCACGTTTGTTGGGGAGGAGAATAAAACACCCTTTATAAGGGACTTCCTCTATCCGACCGCGTTTTAAAGCCTTGAGGGGATGTCCGAAACGGAAAGCCCAAAGAGGATAATATCTGTTAGCGGTGGATCTGGGACATTACAAATGGTATTAGAGCCAGACACCGAACTATGTGCCAGCGAGTAGGCTGTTTCCCAAATGGGGTAGACATGAGATGGTGTGCTAAGGACGCTGGCCCCAAAGGGGGTGGATTTGGCGGGGGTCCCACATCGATTGGAGAAAGGAAAGAGTGTCCGCGAAGACATTGGCCCCAAAGGGGATGGATTGTGATGTTCCACATTGGTTGGGGAGGAGAACAAAACACCCTTTATAGGGGTGTAGAAACCTTCCCCTACGAGACGCATTTTAAAGCCTTGAGGAGAAGCCCGAAAGGAAAAGCCCAAAGAGGACAATATTTGCTAGCCCGAAATCAGGGCGTTACAAAATCCATAATTTTCCTAATGATTTTAGCCAGATCTCATCTCAAGCCCTTCGTGAAAATTAAAGATTAGATTAACATAGTTCTATTACTTGAAGAATCACGAGAAATGATCTACGAAGTATTTCTGGGTAGAAGTCGTGACTTGGCGTGTAATGTAGACTCGTGAGAGTATGAACAGCGCATGGAGTGACACGTTGCTAGTGATAGGGACCCATACGTACCTTCAGACCTAATATGATGTAAATGCACCTACCGATGCAGTACGTACATTAAGTGGGTGCGGTTAGGAGGTCTCCAACTATTCCTTGTTCTTGTCGAAGTAGGACAATGCTTGGCAAAGTCGGTACATGGTGAGTTTAGGGTATTCCCCAACCACTGCTCGAGGCTTTGCTACATTCGCCGTGTGCAGAGTGGCACAGAGCAAGTTGCATTTGGCAAAGGGTTGGCGCACGGTGTTGGCCGTTAGACGAGGCATGTTTTAGGTGGCCGTTGTGCACATGGAGCAAGTAGTTGGGTCGTGCACGCTATGGAGATGACCATGCAAGCATAGTGGTTGGGGCATAGCTAGGCACAGACACACTTCTAGGTGTGCGTCATGTGTCATGATCATGGTTGTCCAAGGTGTGTTACTTGTGGTTATGTACAAGATGTCACGTTCATGTTTATATAGGACATGTTGCATGTGGTTGCATGTCCGTTTCAAACTCTTTTTACTTGTTTTCACGTTAGATAGGCTTTTATTATTTTTTTTATATCAAGCTCGGGATGTGTGATTGTTCACCAAAATCTTATTTATACTTATCAAAGCTAAAATACCTCAAAATGTACGGTAGGTAATATTACTAATTGTCAATTTTTACGGGTTATATGCTATAAAAACCATGGTTGTTGCTTATTTGCTTGCTGTAAATTGATTTCTAAACGTTTTTTAATACTTTTTTTTTCCTAATCTTTTAGAGTAGTCTATTCTGATATATTTGAACTTAACGGAATAATCTTTTACAGTAATCTATTCGATAATTCAACTGGTATAAAATTTCTCACCCCACGTAAAAAAAATCAATTTTTACGGTACCATAATTGAGTGTTAACACACATTTTATGGATTCAGCTCAATTCACTTTAACCATTCCATTTTTTACACTTGTTGCTTTCATCACCTATCTCCCAAAATTTACACACCCCTACAAAAGGTGAAAAAAAAAATTTTACTGCGACGAACCAAATTATTCAACGACGCAGACGAAGAGAACAGTTCAACCAATTTTATACATTTAGACACGGACAAAGAGAACAGTTCAAGCTAACATCTTTAGAGAGATGAGATGAGACGAGACAAGACGGTAGCCTCAGTGCAGCGACCTCATTGAATAATTTATCAAATAGTCTCGAGAAGAGGGTGAAGAGTCAAACCCGAAAGCACGGAACGAGGAGATGGGGAGAATGGAAGGAGATTTCTTGATCAATCAAGGCTTGAACATACCTAAATTGGTCCACATGACAAGGAATAGTGATGGTTCCCTTCTGATCAAAGCCATACTCCTCTTCAGCCTCCTTGAGCAGCTGCATGAACAAAGGGTGATTGAAATACAAGACAGGCACCACAAACCTTTGCTTTTCTTCACTCTGATGCCCAACTTTTATAGCCAAATGCCCCTTTGGGACACCCAATTTGGGGCTCCCTTGGCTTGATCTCTCCCTACTCACCATTTTTAGCTCAAAATTTGAAGGAAATTGGGGGGAAAAAGGATCAATGGGTGAAGAATTTGAAGCAATTTTGGAGTGTTTGTGTAGGGAGGTGGCTGTTTGTGTGTTTTTTGGCCATAACTTTCTTTTCAGCTCATAACTAAGCAATCCATGGAGGGTTTGGATATATAGAGGGTTTGGATATATAATTTTCATTTAAGTTGAAAATTTTTAATTTCATAAATAATATTGAAAATTATTCATACAAGATAATAAATAATTGGAACAAACTAAAGTAATGAGAAGTTGTAGGTATTGATAGGGAGGCAAATTTAGGGGACAAGCAATAGCATATCATGAGCATGTCCACACAAATATCAAGATGTGTCCTCTTCGTTTGTGGTTCTCGATCAAATCTTTATTTCAATCCGTCCCTACCTCTCTTATTTCGTATGTACAACTATATCATACCCTTTTTATGTTCTTATTTATCAAGAATTGACTTGCTCCATATTGATCTGATATGTTTTGTTCAAATACATATTCTTAGTTTTACAACTATTCTTAATATGTGTTATATGAAAAGTTGGAAGTCTTTTCAGCGGATTGAGTGAAAATTCGAACCTTCTAGAAGATTGGTAAAATCGGTGCTAGACATAAGCTCACCATAGCCGGTTGAGGTCAAAGTGAGCTATTTATCTTATTAGACGGTGGAGCATTGACAGTGTAACAGTTACAAGTTCAAGTCCACCGTGAACAAATATTGTCTTTTTTAGACTTCTCCTCAAGATTTTTAAAAGGCGTCAGATAGTCAGCAGTTTCCATATCCTTATATAAACAACGTTTCCTTTCACTCTCCAACCGATGTAGGATCTCACAATTCATCTCCTTTAGGACTTCACTGGCACTTGGCACTCGTCCCTCTAATCGATGGGAGATCTCAATAACAAAAAAATAAAAAAAATGGAAAGAGTGTTAGAATAGTAAAAAAGGGAAGGAGACTGTGAAGCATTGATAGCTTTTGGTGATATATTATGTGGACTCAACAATCCCTTGCAATTGCCTTCACTAAACATTCAATTTTATACACATTTCCACCCCCAAAGAGGGAAAAAAGAATCTGAAGTGCCCCTACAATCTTCAACTCACCAACTTTTAACTGAATATATAATGAAGACTTCAAAAAAGAAGAAAAAAAGGGAAGAAAGAAACACTAATGGTGTCTCGTATTTGAGCTACGTAGGGTGACACCATGTAAGAACTTTGTATACCCAAGAAAACTAAGCTTTCCATCTCCTCTAATCCATTCTTTGAGGATCGAGTACGCTGTCGAACCGAGGTTCAATTCCTGCGTTTGTACACACAGAATACAGTTAGAAAGCATGTACAGATTAAAATTATTCATGATTCTTAAAAGAGCAAGCTTTTAACGGACCCTAGCTAATTCTTCAACTGATATCACCCGGTTTCCCTCGCGCTCGAAATGCTCGAAGGCCACGCAAGCTATCTGCTCCCACTGGTCGAGAGCTTCCAATTGATGGGTACTGATTGCAGCAGCACAGAACTCCTCGAAGTCCATTCTTCTGAAGGCAAGAGGCTCTAGCTGAAAAACGTATCTTATTTCAGCAATGGGAAGCATGCAAATTTTTGTTGGTACAGTAACAAACTTTTGAAAATAATTTTTGTTGTTTTATTTTATGCGAACTTTCACACTTGTTCCATTGTTACTGCATATATCAACCCGAATTTCTGTCTAATATTCTACGTTGGACCTTGTTTGGGGACGGGTTAACTCGAATTTAAACAAATCAACATGAAGGGATTATAAGGTGCACTTCCTAATTAAGTTGGGAAACCAAAACCAGCAGACTCAAAATCACAAGTCATAACTATATTTATCAATCTAGCATGAAGAGAAGCATCAGGTGAAAAGAACCATACCAAATTTACAATTTCATGAACCCTCGACTCCCTCATAGCATCCGTTGCGTTCCGCTTTAGAGCCTAGATCATAGGTGTACTCACAAGTCAAAACAAATAGTGAAGGAGACTGATGAATTTATGGTCCTATGCTATAAAAACTAAAGCAGGGCCAAGAAAGCACTGACCATTTTGAAGTTATCAAGCCCAACTCGCCCATCTTGATTTGGTTCCAACAACGCGAACTGAGCTCTAAGATAAAAGAGTTCGTTTTCTGTCAAAGCTTTTGAGAGAGCCTGAAATGGAAGGATGTCATGATCGGAGGATTAAAAACAATGTTAAGTTCCACATAGAAAACTTCTAGATTTTCGTTCAAGAGAATCACTTTGACTAACTAAGAGGGCAAGCCAGACGAAGCTCAATTAAGAAGATAAGAAATGATCACTTCTTTAAACGACGGAATTAATTTCCGACTCCAGCAACCAAAAAACCAAAAGAAGAAGTAGAAGAATAAGGAAAAGAAGGAAAATATTTTACCTTCATTGCTGCACGTTTGAAAGGAGTAGCATTCAGGTACAACTTCACCAACTTATAGATCAATATATCTAAAGGTATACGACGTGTATCATCCCGCAACCATGGGTGAGCTGCAAACAGAACAGTTTAGTTTAATATGTTACGAGATCGAAGAGAATATAAAAACGATAATAGAAAACTTCAAAAAGTACAGCTATTTTCACATTTTCAACCTATTCTATGGCCTTGTGAGAAGGAAAGATACAAAAGGAAAAACTTACTCAGCGCCTGGACTGCTGTCATTCTCTTTCTATAATCTTTGTTGAGGAGCCTCTTCACGAAGTCTTTTGCCTCTGGAGACGCTGAAGGCCATGGTAGATCTTCAAAATTAGGATCTGCTCTTAACACTGCACGGAATATTCCTGATTCCGTTCTCGCCCAAAATGGCCGACTTCCACATAATAAAATATAGGTAATAACCCCAATGCTCCATATATCTGCTTCCAGAGTGTAAGATCTATGAAGCACTTCAGGTGCAACATAATAAGCACTTCCAACAATATCGTTAAGTCTCTCATCTGCATGTGGATAACAAAAGGAAAGAAGTAAATCATCCAATAGACAATGAGAAGTTACTGTAACATAACTTCAGTCTAATGATGTAACAACTCGAGTAGCATGTTCTGGGGTAACACAATTGTCCTACACAAAAATTCGTACTTTTCAAATGCATTCAGTGCAGATGCAGCAGTCATTCACAATAGTGTATGGATTTCCATAGTGCACTATTCTATTTATTCAATTTATGCTATATATGTTAGAGTGTCAGAATCTATCCATATAAAGTACAATCACAATCAAATAATAAAATATTGGTATACAGATCTTCCAACAGTAATTTAATTTCTAGTAATAATTGAAATCTTAGTGAAGTTCACATTGAAATTTCTGGACAGAAAAACTTGTCTCTCATTAAAGCTTGGGATTAAGATTCTATGATCACCCAACACCAAAGGATCTTGCATTTTTTGGTGGAATGCAGTCCTAGAATTGTAAATATTACGAAGACTAGTTTATTCTTCATGGATGGCATAAATACTGCAATAAGAATGGAAAGCCGCCAATGTGTTTTTTATATATATTAGGGGTAATAATCGTCTCCAAATAGGGCCAGTAGAGTGATTTGTGACAAAAGAAAGGGGTTCACGAGAGTACAGGACAAATGACAAAGTGATGTCTTTTTGTATGCCTCTTGTATTCTTGAATTTTTTTTTTTTTTTTGTTTCTCGATGAAAGTTTGGTTTCTATGGATGGAGAAAAAATAAAAATAAACAAATAGCATAAATAATTTAACAATTAGATAGATCTATTTGTTACCTGGTCTAACAAAGTCTGAAAGACCAAAGTCAATGAGCTTCATATCAGCATCTTCACTTCTAGAAGTAAATAAGAAATTCTGTAGAACATGAAAGAACAACATAAGAAAAAAAGTGGAGGCATACAATTACTACAAGAAATAACTTTATTTTCTTTAGGTGTGTGCGTGGGGGGGGGGGGGG